CTCTCTCTCTATATATATATATATGGGCCATTTGTTTTGATTATTAAAGTGGTATAAAGAGGTGATATTAGAAAAATAGCACGTGAGATCCATTTTATACGTTGTTTGTTTGACATTTTATAGTCAGTACTATTTTTTGGGTCGTAATACCGACCCGCTATAAACAGTAGTTATAATGTCTCGTAGAAGGTCTTAATGAATACCACCTAGGGGGTGATATTATATTCTTGGTATAAGTATTATAAACTAAAAAGACCAAAATGCCCTCCAGTACAATTTTCCTATAAAAGCTTAGTCATAATTTTTGACTTTTTAAAGGTTAAAATTATCTTTTACATTAGTTAGTCGCAATTGTTGACTTTTTTAAGTAAGTATTACACAGATAATATTTGTGATAAACAAACAAGGAGAAGGATGAGATTATAGTTTAACACCGGGTATAATATACTATTGGATTAAAGTGGAATGAATATAAAACCTTATACCACCTAAATTTTTATACTCGAAACAAGCATGCTCATAGTATATAGGTCTGACAATTCTAGACACGACTCATAAAATTGACACGAATTTGACACGGATTTAGTGGGTTTGAGTATAGTCTTAACAGGTTCGGGTGGTTAACGGGTTAACTTGGTAGACTCGTAAAATAAATGAACTGGTTTCGTGTTTAACCCATAAACTCGTTTCAACCCGTTTAACCCGTTAACAGTTGTATTATAATTTTTTTTTAAAAAGTTAAGTCACTGAGCCTTTGTCTCATCTCATACCTCTCATCTCTTACACTCATTCAAATTTAAAAGTCATTTAATGTTTATTTTTTATTTTTATTTTTTTACTCAACCTTGATTTATTGTTATAGTAAATAAGTTAAACATATGTAATGTGTAGTAAATTGATGATTTTTTGTGTGTACTCGAAATAATCTAACTTATTCTCTTATTTAACGGGTGACACACGAGTTATATCAGATAACTCGTCTAATAAATAATTTGTGTATGGGTGTAATAGTTGGACTTGTTTATATAAACGAATGGGATATGCATTGAAAATTTTTTGACACAAATTCGTTCCATCCGATACAAAATCGTTCCACTCGACACGATTGTGAAGTCTAAAAGTATATACTATATATAGAGAGAGAGAGAGAGTACTAGCCCAAAATCGCAAAAGAAGCAGTGAAAATTGCTAGCCCTCCCCCACCACTGTAGCACCCTCTAGTAGCCACCTCCATCCAAATCTGAGAAATTGAAAAGATTTGATGCGCAGATTTGATGTGAAGATCTGACAAATCAAAAGGATCCGAAGCTTAAAAAATATGTCTGCATGATTTTGGGGGTTTTGGGGGTTCGATTTTAAAGTGGTTGTTGGATTGTGTGTGTGATGTGGTTGAGGAGGTAGAAATGGAGGTGTTGGAGAAGAATGTGGTGAGGTTGCTGGACTGTGGTAGTCGTGTATGTGTTGTGTAGTTGAGGAGGTGAAGATGAAGATGGAGGTGATGGACCGATGATGGATTATTTCGTTACTGGGCAGTGGTGGGGCTCTGTGTATGCGAGAGAGAGAGAGAGAGAGAGAGAGAGAGAGAGTGGGGGATAAGGAGTAGGAGGAGGTGGTCGTGATTTTCAGAGAAGTATGGTGGTGGTTTCCGTGGTGTGGAGGTAGCGGTGGGTGGTGGTTAACTATGTTGGTGTTAATGATGGATTTAGGGGCAAATCTGGATTCAATCACATGCCGCCTTAGCTAATCAATTATCCACCACCCTAAACTAAAACCTTGCGCCCCACCATATATAAATACACCTCCCATTCGTCAACCTATTTCTCTCTCTCTCTCTCTCTCTCTCTCTCTTCTTGGACTTTGTAAGACTGTCACCCATATTTCTAGGGTTTTGAACTCTGAACTTCTTCACTTGGATTTCACCGTAAACTATTGATTTGGAAGAAGAGTATGAATCATCATACAATGACAAGGAAGAAGAGATAACCCAAGAGGACGCTTGGGTTGTGATCAGTGCTTATTTCAAAAGTGCAGGGTCTGGTTTGTCAACAACTTGATTCCTTCGATGAGTTCGTGCAGAATACTATGCAAGAGATTGTCGATGAGTCGGCTGATATCGAGATTTGCCCCGAGTCTTAGCACAATCCTGGTCATCAGTCTAACTTTGCCGAGGTTGAAATCTATTTACTTGATTTTGGTTTCTAGGGGTTTTGGGCTACTTCTCGAACTACGCAGTGAAAAAAATATTTAGTTGATAGATTATGAAATTCAACATTTAATTGGAAACATTTTAGTTTATATATGAAATATAAAATAGAGAAATGATAAATGATAGATTGGGATAAATTTTTGAAATAATTTTTTGATATTTCAAGAATTATTATTGATGACATCGGCTTTAAATATGAACTATTCTGACGTCCGTTAGTTGGAAGATGGAAGGGTGCGGTTGTTATAAGCTTCAAATGTCAAGGAATCTTAATATAATTTTTGAAACATGAAGGAATATTTGTATAATAAAATAAAATATTAGAGAATGTGAGCGTAATTACCCTTAATAAAAAATTACAACATTAATATATCAGGTACAAGTTGGAATTCAATTATAAGAGACCAATAAATATATTTCTATCTGATAATTCAAAATTAGAAAAACAAAATTAGGGAGGAAAAACATCGTAAACCCTCCCTCCCTTAGGTTGATTTTTATAATATACAGTACCTAGATTATTTACTTAAAAAGCTAGTTATGACACAATTAAAATTAAGTTATAATTCAAAAAAGGTTAGGATCAATCCTAATTTTGTAGAATCACTTCTCATTAACCCGTAATTTTAATATATTTGTGTTATAATCTTATCCGAATCAACCATATTTTTGGTACCACTGTAAAAAATACTATTGTTGCATTGTATTCGATAGTGGAGTCAAGATTTTATCCCCAAGGATGCTGGATAGTGTCTTGGTCAAAATCAAAATTTTCATTGCACCATTAGCTATTCAAATTGCTAAGTTTTTGCAGATATCGTGCAAGTGTGTGACTTATACTATCTCTTTCACTGTTTTTTTTTTAAATTTTGTTTCTTGGCGATTATCTATTATTAATGAATTGAGACCTTCTTAGTAATTATCTATCATTAATGAGTGAAAAACTTATTTATATTTAACAGGTCTAAATTCATGATAGATAATTTATTTAAAAAATAGAAGAGAAATATATTTAAGAGAGGTCAAAGGCTTTCATGTGAGGAAAAAGGGGGGTTTCTTAGAATACAGTACCTTCAAAACTCGCTCCCTTCAAACTCACTTCCTCTGGTCCTTACTATTTCCTTTGTGAGGAAAAAGGGGGGTTTGACTCCTTTTCAATCTTACAAGAATTGGAAGATATATTAATTTATTTTGAAAGATTAAGATTTGTATTCGCCAACAAATTTGTATAGACTCTGACCATTCAAAAAGAATAGGAGAATCCCTTGATAAGAAATTAGAAGGGGGTTGAACCCAAAAAACAGAGGTATTTTAGAATGCCTCATTAAATGAATGGCTCGGTGGTGGTACCAATACTCGAAACCTCAAATTAGAATTCACGCCACTGAGGTACTCAAAGCTTGGTGTTAGATAGGGACAAAATAAACTTTAAAGGGTACTATAAAAGAAATAAACCGTAAATTTAAACATCTTTAAGTTTGAATCTTGGGAATCCTTTAGGATCACGTCTTGAATACTCTAGTTCCGACGTGGATAGTCTATCTTTGAGCGGACTAAAAAGAGAATTAGTCGAAATGCATATAAGTTGGTCTGATCACTCCTGAATATTAAATAAAAAAAAAAGATAAGGACAAGATATTATGTAAAGATAGATGTGTGTGTTTTTTTAGCTGCCTATACATACCTACAACTCATTATTATTTACCAACTTTTTTTTTTGATAAGTCTTTTTACAAACATTTGAACAAAGCAATCTTTCAATTTAATGATAGACCTGTGGATGATAACTTTATTTAAGAGAGGAACAAAGCAATCTGCCAACCCAAAGTCCGAAGAGTCCAAGAAGAATTAGTGAATGGGGGGAGTAATTATCGAGATATTCACTCTCGAAGACTGAAGAGTCCAAGAAGAATTAGTGTATAGGGGGAGTAATTATCGAGATATTCACTCTCGAAGATTAAGACACTATTTAATTATATTTACCTTTTGTAACTATTCTTCCCGAAAAATTAATGCTTTCCCCCTCAAGTCATTGTCTCAACTCAACTAAAATTTTGTACTTATAACTTGTAAGCTCTCTCTATTGAGAAAAACATCTCTACACCTCCTACACACCCCACACATAAATTTTTCTCTCTCCTAACTATTGTATTTCTTCCGNACTTATAACTTGTAAGCTCTCTCTATTGAGAAAAACATCTCTACACCTCCTACACACCCCACACATAAATTTTTCTCTCTCCTAACTATTGTATTTCTTCCGGGACTAATCATATATATCTCTCTCGTTTACCTTACTTAATCAATAAAAGGTTTCCCAACCGTCGTTGCTGTTTTTTGGAGTGGAGTAGGTTATTCAGACCGAATCACTATATATTNAGAGAGAGAGAGAGAGAGCGAATCAAAGATGAGATTGTGATATGTTCAGAGAAATTTATTAAATCCAGATTAGATTACTCTGAGTGAACTTGGAAAAAAGTTACAATCTAGGAGACACAGAAGGAACTAAGAAATTCAACACTGTAAGTTCCTAAAAATAGATCAATTCTAACACATAATCATAGAATTTTCCGCAATTAATGCTCAGTACCATTCAGATATTGCAAATATTCACACACACACACACAGAGATAACGAATCAAAGAAGGGATTGTGATGTGTTCCTAAAAATCGTTAGAAGATCATCTCTATCACATAATCATAGAATTTTCCGCAATGCTCATTACCCTTCAAATACTGCAAATATTCATTCACACACAATTACACACACCCAAAAGAAAATAGAGATGGATACCTCATAGGCTTCCGAGATCTGTTTGAATTTGGCCTCAGCATCTTTCTTGTTATTAGGATTCTTATCAGGGTGCCACTTCATGGCAAGCTTTCTATAAGCTTTCTTCAAATCTTCATCTTTGGCATTCTTGTCAACTTGTAATATCTTATAATAATCCACACCCATCTGATATTCTCTCTTCTTCAACAACTCCTCCTCTTCTTCTTAGTGCTCTTTATTGTTGTTTTTCTGCTGCTTCTGCTAAATCTTTATCGAATATAATATGGGTGGAGCGCTTGATCTGAGAAAGATAGAGAGGATTGAAATGTATATATATATGAGAGAGAGAGAGAGAGAGAGAGAGAGAGGGGATGTATCTGGAAGGGGTGAAAGATTAGAAGAGTGTGGAAGTTACCAGATTTCAGTTGGGGCGCAGACAGCTTTTTGACCAATTTTATATAAACGTTTATAAAACGGTCTAGCTACACATCGGGAAAAAAAAAATTAGTACTTTTTTTCCATCAATAATGTATAAAATTTTATTATTTTATTATTTTTAAAATCAAGAGTCAAAAATAAATTAATATGAAGGAAAAATTCAATGTTACCCCCCTTTTTTTTGGAATGAATTTTAAGATACAAAAATTTTCAATTAATCCCCTAAAAGATTAATTTTTTCATATTATCCTCTCGAAGAAATAAAAATATTGTAATGTGACTCGTGGTCGTCCATTTATTTTGTTTCAAATTAACCAATTAGAAATCACAAATCAAAAGAAAAATAAATAAAAATAAAACAGTTGACCACGTTATAATATTTATATTTCTTTTATGGGGCAAATTGAAAATTTGTGTATCTTTCTGGGAGTAAAATAGGATTTACCCTAATATACAATCAAAGGTATGCGCCAAGTACTAACGTACCGTATTCATCCCATTCTAATATTATTAAAAAGTTATTTATTAATGTCTTAACTTGATTTTTTTTTAAAAAATCAATTTGAATTAGTTGATAGAGCTGATGACAAATTCACATGTGAAATAGTTAATAAAAGAGTAAATTATACTCGCACCTCACTATATTTGATTTTGTAACACAAACATCCCCTCATGTTTCANGAGAGAGAGAGAGAGAGAGAGAGAGAGAGGGGATGTATCTGGAAGGGGTGAAAGATTAGAAGAGTGTGGAAGTTACCAGATTTCAGTTGGGGCGCAGACAGCTTTTTGACCAATTTTATATAAACGTTTATAAAACGGTCTAGCTACACATCGGGAAAAAAAAAATTAGTACTTTTTTTCCATCAATAATGTATAAAATTTTATTATTTTATTATTTTTAAAATCAAGAGTCAAAAATAAATTAATATGAAGGAAAAATTCAATGTTACCCCCCTTTTTTTTGGAATGAATTTTAAGATACAAAAATTTTCAATTAATCCCCTAAAAGATTAATTTTTTCATATTATCCTCTCGAAGAAATAAAAATATTGTAATGTGACTCGTGGTCGTCCATTTATTTTGTGTCAAATTAACCAATTAGAAATCACAAATCAAAAGAAAAATAAATAAAAATAAAACAGTTGACCACGTTATAATATTTATATTTCTTTTATGGGGCAAATTGAAAATTTGTGTATCTTTCTGGGAGTAAAATAGGATTTACCCTAATATACAATCAAAGGTATGCGCCAAGTACTAACGTACCGTATTCATCCCATTCTAATATTATTAAAAAGTTATTTATTAATGTCTTAACTTGATTTTTTTTTAAAAAATCAATTTGAATTAGTTGATAGAGCTGATGACAAATTCACATGTGAAATAGTTAATAAAAGAGTAAATTATACTCGCACCCCACTATATTTGATTTTGTAACACAAACATCCCCTCATGTTTCAAAAATTACAATAAGACCTCAATTGTTAGACGAAATTAACAATCTTGGTAAAAGACTATTTTGCCCTTCTCTTTAACACAAACTCAAACCCAAAGCACGAGCCCTTTACCTAATGCCTTCGTCGTATTCTCTGCACCTACACCATTAACGCTTTCTCTCTAACTCTCACTCTCTCTCTCTCTCTATATATATATATATGGGCCATTTGTTTTGATTATTAGAGTAGTATAAAGAGGTGATATTAGAAAAATAGTACGTGGGATCCATTTTATACGTTGTTTGTTTGACATTTTATAGTCAGTACTATTTTTCGGGTCGTAATACCGACCCGCTATAAACAGTAGTTATAATGTCTCGTAGAAAGTCTTAATGAATACCACCTAGGGGGTGATATTATATTCTTGGTATAAGTATTATAAACTAAAAAGACCAAAATGCCCTCCAATACAATTTTCATATAAAAGCTTAGACGTAATTTTTGACTTTTTAAAGGTTGAAATTATATTTTACATTAGTTAGTCTCAATTGTTGACTTTTTTAAGTAGGTATTACACAGATAATATTTGTGATAAACAAACAAGGAGAAGGATGAGATTATAGTTTAACACCGGATATAATATACTATTGGATTAAAGTGGAATGAATATAAAACCTTATACCACCTAAATTTTTATACTCGAAACAAACNTTAAAGTGGAATGAATATAAAACCTTATACCACCTAAATTTTTATACTCGAAACAAACATGCTCATAGTATATAGGTCTGACAATTCTAGACACGACTCATGAAATTGACACGGATTTAGTGGGTTTGAGTATAGTCTTAACAGGTTCGGGTGGTTAACGAGTTAACTTGGTAGACTCGTAAAATAAATGAACTGGTTTCGTGTTTAACCCATAAACTCGTTTCAACTCGTTTAACCCGTTAACAGTTGTATTATAAATTTTTTTTAAAAAGTTAAGTCACTGAGCCTTTGTCTCATCTCATACCTCTCATCTCTTACACTTATTCAAATTTAAAAGTCATTTAATATTTATTTTTTGTTTTTATTTTTTTACTCAACTTTGATTTATTGTTATAGTAAATAAGTTAAACATATGTAATGTGTAGTAAGTTGATGATTTTTTGTGTGTACTCAAAATAATCTAACTTATTCTTTTATTTAACGGGTGACACACAAGTTATATCAGATAATTCGTCTAATAAATAATTTGTGTATGGGTATAATAGTTGGACTTGTTTATATAAACGAATGGGATATGCATTGAAATTTTTTTGACACAAACTCGTTTCATCCGACACAAAATTATTCCACTCGACACGATTGTTAAGTCTAAAAGTATATACTATATTGAGAGAGAGAGAGAGTACAAGCCCAAAATCGCAAAAGAAGCAGTGAAAATTGCTAGCCCTCCCCCACCACTGTAGCACCTCTAGTAGCCACCCCCATCCAAATCTGAGAAATTGAAAAGATTTGATGCGCAGATTTGATGTGAAGATCTGACAAATCAAAAGGATCCGAAGCTTAAAAAATATGTCTGCATGATTTTGGGGGTTTTGGGGGTTCGATTTTAAAGTGGTTGTTGGATTGTGTGTGTGATGTGGTTGAGGAGGTAGAAATGGAGGTGTTGGAGAAGAATGTGGTGAGGTTGCTGGACTGTGGTAGTCGTGTATGTGTTGTGTAGTTGAGGAGGTGAAGATGAAGATGGAGGTGATGGACCGATGATGGATTATTTCGTTACTGGGCAGTGGTGGGGCTCTGTGTATGCGAGAGAGAGAGAGAGAGAGAGAGAGAGAGAGAGTGGGGGATAAGGAGTAGGAGGAGGTGGTCGTGATTTTCAGAGAAGTATGGTGGTGGTTTCCGTGGTGTGGAGGTAGCGGTGGGTGGTGGTTAACTATGTTGGTGTTAATGATGGATTTAGGGGCAAATCTGGATTCAATCACATGCCGCCTTAGCTAATCAATTATCCACCACCCTAAACTAAAACCTTGCGCCCCACCATATATAAATACACCTCCCATTCGTCAACCTATTTCTCTCTCTCTCTCTCTCTCTCTCTCTCTTCTTGGACTTTGTAAGACTGTCACCCATATTTCTAGGGTTTTGAACTCTGAACTTCTTCACTTGGATTTCACCGTAAACTATTGATTTGGAAGAAGAGTATGAATCATCATACAATGACAAGGAAGAAGAGATAACCCAAGAGGACGCTTGGGTTGTGATCAGTGCTTATTTCAAAAGTGCAGGGTCTGGTTTGTCAACAACTTGATTCCTTCGATGAGTTCGTGCAGAATACTATGCAAGAGATTGTCGATGAGTCGGCTGATATCGAGATTTGCCCCGAGTCTTAGCACAGTCCTGGTCATCAGTCTAACTTTGCCGAGGTTGAAATCTATTCACTTGATTTTGGTTTCTAGGGGTTTTGGGCTACTTCTCGAACTACGCAGTGAAAAAAATATTTAGTTGATAGATTATGAAATTCAACATTTAATTGGAAACATTTTAGTTTATATATGAAATATAAAATAGAGAAATGATAAATGATAGATTGGGATAAATTTTTGAAATAATTTTTTGATATTTCAAGAATTATTATTGATGACATCGGCTTTAAATATGAACTATTCTGACGTCCGTTAGTTGGAAGATGGAAGGGTGCGGTTGTTATAAGCTTCAAATGTCAAGGAATCTTAATATAATTTTTGAAACATGAAGGAATATTTGTATAATAAAATAAAATATTAGAGAATGTGAGCGTAATTACCCTTAATAAAAAATTACAACATTAATATATCAGGTACAAGTTGGAATTCAATTATAAGAGACCAATAAATATATTTCTATCTGATAATTCAAAATTAGAAAAACAAAATTAGGGAGGAAAAACATCGTAAACCCTCCCTCCCTTAGGTTGATTTTTATAATATACAGTACCTAGATTATTTACTTAAAAAGCTAGTTATGACACAATTAAAATTAAGTTATAATTCAAAAAAGGTTAGGATCAATCCTAATTTTGTAGAATCACTTCTCATTAACCCGTAATNACCTAGATTATTTACTTAAAAAGCTAGTTATGACACAATTAAAATTAAGTTATAATTCAAAAAAGGTTAGGATCAATCCTAATTTTGTAGAATCACTTCTCATTAACCCGTAATTTTAATATATTTGTGTTATAATCTTATCCGAATCAACCATATTTTTGGTACCACTGTAAAAAATACTATTGTTGCATTGTATTCGATAGTGGAGTCAAGATTTTATCTCCAAGGATGCTGGATA